TGCTCGGGGCTCAGGCGGCGCCTCCCCGCCGCTCCCGTCCGCAAGAGGTCACCAGCAAACAACGGCCGAGGGCCGCTCCACATTCCCAGCGACCCGCCTTCCCCGGTGAGTGACACCGGCCTGCTCCAACCGGAGCAGAGCTGTGCCAGCCACGCCGTCGCCTATTGGCCAGCAGGCTGCCCCCGGGGGACCCGTGGCTCAGTCCTATGGGCAGGAAAGCGGGACACGCGCTGCGGCCTCGTGTTACCGAAGGGAGGGGGGTGTCCTGCCGGGCATGGCCAGGACCCGCCCCCTCTCCCCCGGACCCCAAGCCTGGCCAAGACACCCCCCGGGGCACAGCACCCCCGGGCCACCCAGCTTTCCACCTTAAGGATTGGGCTGGGGTTTCCTTTAATTCCACATTCCTGAATTCCTTCCAGGGCGTGCAGACTTTATTTTGCAAAGACTTTCCCTAGCTTCAGATCTCTGTCCCAAAGCCCTTGCCGGCTCCAGGTTCCTGGAGGAACTGTTAACTGAGGGCCAGATTTTGCCTGATTTCACAATGCCTACAATCGTGTTGAACGCATGGATTACAGGGTGGCGTAAATCAGAGGAGAAAAAGGCCCTTCCACTTGAAATATACTCCCTGGACAAGAGATTTCCTTTTCAGGTCCCTTTCTATCCCCCAAATCACTCCGCACGATAGTATTGCTGGCACCAAGCATTCAAAAACAATGGGCCCCAGAACCCCGCAAAGTCATGAGAGTAAAACAAAACATGCTGAGTTCGTTTTATTTGCCTCCTGGTTTTTAACTCTTTAAGAGTCATCTTTTCAAGTTTGCGCCACAACTACAAGGGCTAGAAACTTTGGTTAAAAAAAGAAGAAAAAATAAAAATTGACATTTTCATGTAATCATCAGGACCTGGGACTTTCAGAAAGACACCAAATAATTTGAATATTCATGATCCAGCCATAGAGTAAAAAATTCGGAACTATTTTAATTGAATACATTGAGAAAATGATTTTATTAGAGGAGTTATTTATTATTTGCATTCCCCTGGTGCTTCAGGACACTAATCATAGACCAGGACTCCATTGTGCGAGGAGCTGTAGAAACAGAACAAAAAGCTGGTTCCTGCCACAAGGGGTTTATAATCTTTATAAGTGAAGAGACAACAGACAGGGGAGTACAAGTTAACAATGAGACAATATTTGTCAGCTTGACAGGCGGTGGTATCTGCACATTAGCAGCCTAAACATTGTCAAGTTTTTGCAGGCATCATGGCATACACCATCTGCTCACAAATACTCGCAAACGGAAGAGGTTAAAATCCCTTTCAGAAATTACTTGTTGCAAATGATTTGCTAAGCTCCACTTGTCCCACATGCTAGTCAAGTGCTACACTGGAAAGCAACTCCACATAAGCTTGGTCTTCCTTTGTGGCTCCATGCTGTGCCCTCCTTATTTTATAAACTTGATGCTAATAATCACAATTAAACAATACTAAATGTGAGTGTGTGGAATATAAGTTCCCACTGGACCCAATTTTACAGTGTGGCACTTCACCAGCAGAGTAAGGTACTACCGAATGTAAGTATGGACGGCAGAATCAGACCCTATGAGATTTGTGCTTCAGTCAAAACCTGCATATGCTCGGTGATGCTGTGGGATATTGTCACTCTTACAAATACATCTGACACATGCATCTGATGAAGTGGGTATTCATGCTCCAAAACGCCTGTTAGTCTATAAGGTGCCACAGGACTCTTTGTCGCTTCTTACAAATAAGTACATGCCATCAAATCAGGATGTATAGGTCTAGTAATATGATCATTTTGTATTCTCCAACATGAGGAGGAAGAGGGAGACGTGAAGCTGTGGCCAAAACAGTATTGGTTTTTTTCTGCCCTTTCTACTGAACATGAAATTAGAAAATTTTATTTCAGCAGCAGCCTTTATCTCTGCCTTTTTGCCTGCGTTAAAGCGGCGAGCTGCAATAATACATCAGGAAGTTGAAAGGAAAGGGGACAAGGCCACATGATTACTGTAATTGTCTCCGCTCTGTGACAGCAGGGGGAGAGTTATTATGACAGAGCTATTCAGCGCCAGAGACACTGACTATCCATTTCTGTTTTGGTGTCCTCCCACCTATTAAAGAAAAAATCCAGTTTATCACATACAATTTAAAAATCAGTTATAAAAATCAAATCTATGATATTTTCTTACCAACTTTATATCATCAATGTTGTAAACAGGAAACAGAATCAAACTCTAACTCCTATTCACACCAGAGATGTCTTTTTCTTAAGTTTTAGGATCCAAATTTTGCCCTGACCACCTTGAACTGTAACTGCCGTACTTGTGGTTACAACTGTTTGTGCGTAAAACCCCCAGCGTTTGTGTGCCAAATGCAGGATTCTTTACATGCAAAGCAGGATACTGCATGCGGAGATGGAGAGGGATGTGCCCCTAAATATTCTTGGTGCAGACAACGAAGATTGCTGGAAATCTGGCCCTTAATTATTTCAGTTCAAAAACAGTCCAGCCCCTGGACAGGAAATAAAGGGCCATCCTACAACAGAGAGAAGAGCTCTGTTGCTGTGTACTAGATTAGCCAGAACACAAGTGGGAGTAAAGGAGGGGGTAGGATGGTGTCCGGACAAGAGCAGCTCTTTGTGGGTTGGGGAGAGGGGTGATTTGGTCTCTGGATGTGGCGGAAAAGACTGAGTGGACCTTCGCTGTCCCCCGCCCCCATCCTGTGGGTCTCACCCCCTGCTCTCCTGGTATGTGGGGAGAACTAGACACCATCAGCTTGCCCAAAGAATCTCTGCTACTGCAGACGCTGATTTTTCATGCTGTCTCCCGTGTACTTTGTTTTCATGCTGGTGCTGTGGAAAGACGCAGAGCCTCGCCCCCCACCAAGCTGAGGCTGCTTGACTTCATGCTGTGCAGCATCAATGAATGAAACCACCATCTCCGCATGGTGCTGTGCAATCAGACGAGGGGAGGCAGGAGACCGCCTCTGCCGAGGGGGAGATACAATAGCTGCTGCTTTATTTAAAGTCAAACGGCAAGGTGTATTCCTTTGCCAGACCTGGGTGAACGTTATTCTTGTGAGTGTCTAGATCCTTCTCATTCCTTCTACTGCCAGTGGGTCATGCCCCAGCATGAGGCAGGCATGGAACAAATCTTTATTAGTTGCATCACCAACTAGTGACCCCAGCAGCAACACAGCGGTGCCAGGAACTATTGCTTAACCCTAGCAGGCATTCATGGGCTTCCCTGCTATAAGAAGCCATGACTAAGTTTTATTAAAGCCTGCGTGGGTAGTGAAGGTCAGGAAATCTGAGTTCTATACCTGGCTTTGTCACTCGCCCATTGTATAACCTTGGCACAGTCACTTCACCCGTCTGCATCTCAGTCCTC